AGTAAATGATCGATTGTAAAAGTAAATGATCGATTCTGTAAACTCGTAAAAGTTTTGAATATTTGAAAAAGGGTTTAAATGTTTTTGATTTTCTAATAAAAATCTACAAGAATATTTGAAAAATGGCTTTTAATCAAAGCTCGATTATCAAACTGGGGTCACTCGGTTAGGGTTTACCCCGAGAGCCGCGCATTACCATGGTGTATCCTTCCAACTGACGCAAGCACCAAAGCACCATGGGATTTTACCGACTTATACAACTCATTTAACAAGGGCTTTAATGAGCGTCGACATCTCTCCGGCGAAATCTGTCATTTGGCCGCTTTTCTTTATTAAAAATTGTTAAGAAAAGTTTTCCAATATTTCTTTAGTGTAAAAATAGCGTTTAACATCACTTAATAACATTAAGAATCACACTTAACTATTTAACTTTAGCTCCTGTCTCCTTGGCGGACCCCGAGCTTGATCCGGATGTGGACTTCCCTCTCAAACATCAAGATGGTGGTGGTAGCCTCCGTGTAGCAGTCTTGTATGGCGTGGATATATCCGAGGTCAATCCCTGCGTCGAGGAGAGCTTGTGTCGCTGCGCTGTGGTCCACGCTGTGGTCACAGAGTCGAATGCCTTCTTGTAGTCGACGAACACCAGGTTCATTTACTTTCATTTCCCTTTCATTTCCCTTTCATTTTCCACCTATTCAACTTTTTGCAGAGATTATTGATAGTCAAACGAGATTTACATATTTCCCGTGTTCACAATGTGTTTCTCTATTGATTCTTTTCAAAAAAATATATCAATTTCCCTTTTGTAAATGATATTCAAGACAAAAGATGGTTATGATTGTTTCCCATGTACTCTCTTTCGATTGTTTAAAAGGTGATTTTACAATAAACTTTATAATTAATTAGTTTATGATCATTTTATAAGTTTATAGTTTAAAGTTTTCTTTTAATAGTTATCTAATTTGGATCATGAAGATTGGGCGGTTGGCTATTAGGTTGAGGAAAAAGCTTTGGTTCCAATACGGTTCCTTTTTTGATCTAACACGGTTCCAATACGGTTCTTTTTGTGATCCAATACGGTTCCAATACGACTCCTATTTTATTCCAACACGATTCCAATACGGTTCCAATACGGGTCCAATACGGTTCCTACTTTGATCTAATACGGTTCCAATACGGTTCCTATTTTATTCCAATACGGTTCCAATACGGTTCCATTGCTGTTCCAATACTGTTCCAATACGGTTCCTTTTTTGATCTAACACGGTTCCAATACGGTTCCTATTTTGATCTGCGAAAAACTCAACTCCGAAAAACAATTTATATCCATTTTTTGCGCTTATATTGTTGTAACAATGTTGATCTTTGTTTTCCAAATGAGTTTGCAAGAAAAAGAGCTTCGAGTTTTGATCCGCTATTACTGGAAACGGAAGCATTTAAAGCAGTTGAAGCTTGCCAAGAGTTCTTTGATTCGAAATCGAAGGATTGGTACTTCGCGCAGATTCGAAAGGTTGCAGATTGATCGACAGATTGATGACAGAAAGTCGTAGATAATCATTGGCCATACTTTATGGAATAATTCTTCGTATTTTTGTTATTAAAGTGCCCATAAAAATTGAATTTTTCGCAGCTAAGACAGGACTTTTTCCTCAACCTAGTAAAAACGAAAATTGCGCTAAATGGAATTGCCATTTACCAGCGCTTTCGCTTTGTGCGAGTCTGATATCAAAATGTAGCCCTTCAATTGAGCTACAAGATAGTATAAAAATCTTTAGAAAAACTCTTGTTTAGTACAAGAAAAATGGCCGCAAAGTGAATGTCGACTACGTCGTCGTTAGTATTGCGATGTACAGTCGCTGCTTGCGGCCTTTTTTCTTGTACTATGCAAAAGTTTTTCGAAAAGTTTTTTGTGCTATCTTGTAGCTCAATTGAAGGGCAACATTTTGATACCAGACTCGTACAAAACGAAAGCGCTGGTAAATGACAATTCCGTTTTTTACACAGCAACTCAATGGTTTCATCTAATTTTTAGGGCCAAGAAAAACAAGAAGATAACTGCTTCAAAATGAGTCAAACACTTTTCAAATAAAGCTGTCAACTTATGCTGATCGTTCTTTTTGATGTTAATTTCAAAATAAATCCTATTTATTTATCATTTGCAAGTATTATTTTCATTCTTTCATTAGCCCATTCATTTCACTCATTGTTTGCCTCTTTTCTTTCATTTTTCGCTCAATTCCATGACGTCATTTCTCTATTTTTCCGTTGAAAAAAGAAAAAAAAGAAAGAAAAGGAACTCCGGACAAAAAAAGAAACAAAAAAAAATCTCTCATTTTGATGGAAATAAATTTTGCTTTGTTTAAAACTCGAAAGGGAAAAAGTTGGTGAAAAAAAATTCTCTCAACATCAACATTTAGAGATTTTTCGCCTTTTGTTTAGGGGCTTTTGTAGGAGATTTCTTTTTGAGGAAATGAGACAGAAAATCGAGAGTTTTTCTTCTTTAAAAATGATACACGTGACGCTAAAATTGTTGTCTAAAAGGATTGAGACAATTACTCGAAAAAGAAACTTGTTTAAATGTTTATTCGTTAGTCGTTTCTACAACTCTTTTTCTATAAGCTCTTAAAGCTCTTAAAGCTCTTTTTTCTCTTTGAAAAAAGTCACAATTCATAATAAATCTTAATCTAAGTCTTAGCATACCAAATTTAGAGAGATAGGGAAGCAACTTAAGAGAGACAAGGAACCCAGTTTAGATAGAGAAGCAGATAGGGAAACAAATCTAGAGAGAAAAGGAAACAAATCTAGAGAGAAAAGGAACCAAATTTAGAAAAATAGGGAACGAACTTAAGAGAAATAAGGAACCAAGTTTGGATAGAGAAGCAGATAGGGAACCAAATTTAAGAAAGCAAAAAAGTACAGAAATCGCTGTCAAAATCAATTTTACTTGATACTTTTTTGATTTGAAAGCTTTTGAAAGCTAAAAGCCAATTTTTCTTTTCAATAATTTCCAAATAGATTAAGATATTTATATTATAAAAACTATAGAATTAAGTTAGCTGATTGTAAAGTTAAAACTCTTGTCCGATTAATTTTGTTAAACTCTGTAGTCTAGGTGGAACTGATTCTTGATGAAAATCTTGATTTCTTGATCTTTATGGATGATCTTGATGAAAACGAAAGTCTTGACATCCACAGAGACTCAACCCAATCCACAGAGACTTAAGCAAGAAGCTGACAACTTTTGATTATGTTCAGTGAAGTAGAGTGCTCGCCTGAAGTGATCGGTTGATCAGTCGAACGAGAATCGATAACCGAGAAGACTCGGATGTGGGATGCTTCACAGAGATTATTCTTTGTGAATGTATAACCGACAAGTGCCCATTTCTCTATGATTTATTGGGTTTCACTTTATTTTGGTCTAAATAAACGCGAAAATCAGCAACTCGCATACTTTCATCAGGAAACGACGCAAAGAAATGAGTATCGCATCGCTTTAACTATCGATCTAACGATGCCTGAGTGGAGCGAAGATCTCGACATTTCGTTTATTTGGATCTGAGCCTGGATCTGAGCCTGGATCTGAACCTGGATCTTGGCCTGGATCTGAACCTGAATCTTGGCCTGGATCTGAGTCTGGATCTGAGCCTCGATTTGAGCCTGGATTTGAGCCTGGATTTGAGCCTGGATCTGAGCTTGGATCTTGGCCTGAAGCCAGGTTTCTAGAGCCGATTTTCCAGCACAAGCCAAGTCAAAGCCAAGATTTTATGCCAAATTAGGCCAAATTCAATAGTAAGGTTGAAATTTCAGGTATCCAGCGCCACACCTGACAATACCACTTTGACAGTGAGCACACGCGGTCGTCTAAAGAAACGCGAAAATCCGAAACTTGCATGCTTTCATCAGGAAATGACTCAAAGAAATGAGTATCGCATCGCTTTAACTATCGATCCAATGATGCCTGAGTGGTGCGAAGATCTCGACATTTCGTTTATTTGGATCTGAGCCTGGATCTGTGCCTGGATCTGTGCCTGGATCTGTGCCTGGATCTGAGCCTGGATCTGATCCAATGATGCCTGAGTGGAGCGAAGATTTCGACATTTTGCTTATTTGGTTGTTTCAACAAACAAATATGTTTTAACAACCAACTCTTCAGAGTTAATTGTCAAAAATCTTGATACTTGTCTTGCTTAACCGTTGAGTTTCTGTGGACCATCCACAGCGACTCAACTCAGTTAAGCAAGAAGCTGACAACTTTCGAGGGATGATTATGTTCAGTGAAGTAGAGTGCTCGTCTGAAGTGATCAGTCGATCAATCGAACGAGAATCGATAACCGAGAAGACTCGAATGTTGGATGCTTGACAGAGATTATTCTTTGTGAATGTATAAACGACAAGTACCGAAATCTTTTCTAAATCTTTGTTCTTCTACTCAAGAAGCTTAGAATACAGTAATTTTTCTTGTAGAAAGGATTTTAAGCTTTAGAATTTTGAGTTTAAGTTGAGAATTTAACTTTTAGCTTTTAATAACTTTTAGATAACTTAGCTTTTACTAATGAGTATCTTTTAGAAAGATAGAATCATGATAGTTTACTCAAAAAGCTCAAGTTTATTGTTCGTTTTTGTACCTTGCCCTGCCTTGTACCTTGCCTTGTAGTACCTTATAGAAAAAAGGATTTTAAATGCTTTAAAATGAGCTTGATTAGGGTAGCTTGATTACGGTAGCTTTTTTGGAGTCTTTTTGAAGTTTTTTTTGTTTTAAAAACTAGACAAAAGATCGTCTAAAAGATCGATCGTCAAAAAGTTTAACTCAAAAATACTTTAGAATTTTATTTTGCAAAACACAGCACCATTCATTGGAGAAAACTATGATAATAGACTTACCCGAATCACGCGAATTTGGGGAGAGAAAAGAAAAAAAACGATACTTTGAAAAGAAAACATAATTTGAACAAATGTACAAACAAGTTTAGAGGGGTTTTTTTTGAGGAAAAGACAATTTAATTCTGAGAAACTGTTGCATAAATCCAGTGACAACCGACCATTCCATCTTTTGAACCATGAAGAAGATCGTTCAAGATCTAAAGATTAAAGAATAAAGAAGTTGAATAAAGAAGTTAATTCAAAGCAATCAAAGAAGAAGATCGTTTAAGAACTAAAGATTTTAAAGGATAAGGAAATTAACTTAAACCAATCTATCAAGAAGATCGTTTAAGATCTAAAGATTAAAGAATAAAGAAGTTAATTCAAAGTAATTCATGAAGAAGATCGTTCAAGATCTAAAGCTTTTAAAGGAAAAAGCTATTAACTTAAAGCAATCTATCAAGAAGATCCTTTAAGATCTAAAGCTTTTAAAGAATATGGAAATTAACTCAAAGCAATTCATGAAGAAGATCGTTTAAGATCTAAAGATTAAAGAATATGGAAGTTAATTCAAAGCAATCTATCAAGAAGATCCTTCAAGATCTAAAGCTTTTAAATGATAAAGCTATTAACTTAAAGCAATCTATCAAGAAGATCCTTTAAGATCTAGAGCTTTTAAAGAATAAGGAATGTAACTTAAAGCAATCTATGAAGAAGATCGTTCAAGATCTAAAGCTTTTAAAGAATAAGGAAAGTCACTCAAAGCAATCTATGAAGAAGATCGTTTAAGATCTAAAGATTAAAGAATATGGAAGTTGATTCAAAGCAATCTATCAAGAAGATCCTTTAAGATCTAAAGCTTTTAGAGAATAAGGAAATTAACTTAAACCAATCTATCAAGAAGATCGTTCAAGATCTAAAGCTTTTAAAGAATATGGAAATTAACTCAAAGCAATCAATTAACTATTGATGTTGGTGAATTGAAAACTGCCGGCTATTGTCATATGTGACAGTTTGAGCACTTTCTTCAAAAGAAACCCATTTTGGTGTCAATGGAAAAGTTGTAGAGAATCAAAAGTTAAGCTTATATCCAAATTTTCAGAACGATTCAAAAACTGGTTTTCAAGAAATGCCAAATTTACGAATTTTCACAAAACTTGCAACAAAACTTGCTTTTTAAGCGAAACTACTAAGTGTATCTTTTTGCAAATTTGGATATAAGCTTAATTTTTGATTCTCTACAACTTTTCTATTGACACCAAAATGGGTTTCTTTTGAAGAAAGTGCTCAAACTGGGACATCTTGACATCTCCAGTCCTCTATTTTTGAGTCTCACACTTGTCTCACACAAACCAGAATCCTACTACGAAAGAGGAATCCACAAATTGGCTGTAAAATGGGCAGAAGTCGTCAATAATAATGGAGATTATTTGGAATGAATTGTTGGTTTTATGTTGAATAAATTTGAGTTCAAAGTCCGGCAGTTTTCAATTCAATATTTAAAGATAAGGAAATTAACGTAAAGCTAGCATCAAATTAAGCTTAATTTAAAAGATGACATATCATAAAACCATAATTATATCACCTGGACGAGATGAGGGATAACCTGCCTTAGTTCAACTTACCTTATTATCAAGATTATTGATTGGACGATCGAAGAGGCGAGCAGCAATGACAAGAGGGATTTCCTGGAACACAGTTCTGTGAGCTGTGAGCTGTGAGCTGTGAGCTGTGAGCTGTGAGCCTTCTTATTCAAAAGAGATTCTTATTCAGAAGATATTCTTATTATCTTGTTCTTAAATTTAAAATCCTATATACTATTTTAAGTTAAACTTAGTTTTCTTATTGAATTTTCTTTCTTATTGAATTTTCTTTCTTATAAAGTTTTCTTATTGAATCAAAGAACTTACACCAGATCGTGCTCGGCTTGAGACAAAGAGTTCCCAGAGTTGTTCAGCTCTAGCGGAATTCTGGAATAGATTTTATAAGAAAAGATTAGAAAAGAAAAGATTAAACGTGATCCAATTGTTAAAATTTGTTTTTTTCTAACTTTTTACCTTATCAAGAAATGGTAATAGTTCATTTTTTGTAGGCAAACAAACACGAAGTGAAAGATCATTGTAATCGCCTGGTGGAAGACCCTGGAATCGATTTGATTTAAGCTCAGATTACAAGGTGAAAGCAAATCCAGCTTCTGGTAAAATCCAGCTTTTAAAAAGCAACAAACCTCAGCCGAGCATTGAGCCAAGTGATCGCCTTGAAAGATTTGAACAAAATTTCTCAAATCACCGCCCATTTGATGGCAAATGTCACAGTGAACACTGTAAAAAAAGAGTTAGATCAAAAGTTAGATCAAAAATTAGATCAAAAATTGAATCTGATCATCATCCCCATCATGATCATCATTCAAATTCAAACAAATCCTCAAACGAATCCTCAAATCCTTTCCCCTACCATGATCCAATTCCTCCACACCCATTCGCATCAGCATTCACACATCTTTCTGGCTTTCCATGGATACCAATCCTTGTCTCCAAATGTACATAATAGGATTTGTGACCATCAAGTCCTGGGGTAAAGACCTAAAGATTTAAGATAACAAATTTAAGATAACAAAAAGCTTTTTGATTTAGGAAAATTCATATTCAATGACGAATAAAGAGCTCTTGGATTTTGTATCAATTAAGTATTCAGTTTTTTTTTTTTATCAAATTTAAGTAGTAACTTTGAGTAACTATGATCCAAAAATTGCAATCTATATGTCGTAGCCGATTATGAATTTCAGCCGATTATGAATGAGCGAATCCGGCAAGTTTTTCGGAATCAGCTTAAAAATTACCGGCGCTACAACGTTTCATTCAACCCCCTTAGCCGATTATGAATGAGTGGGTCTAGGAGCGTCCGCATAATGACGGTGCGTAGTGTTGCGTAGTCTAGCTTTGGACGCGTTTTTCTTGACACTGGTTTATGCTACAAAGCTCGTTTAGGTATCAAAAAATAGCTGAGATTCAGGGCTATTTTTTGATACCAAAGACGCATTTTTTGAAAGCACGGGCGCTTTGAAAAAGATGAAATACTAAAAAACCTTTTGCGACTACGCGACTGTACGATGCAGATGGGACCAGATGGGACCGTAGACCAGCAGCAGGCAATTTAATATACCGTAAATACTGTCATAGTAAATACTTTGACAGTATTTACAGTATATTAAATTGCCTGCTGCTGGTCTACGGTAAGAACTTTAAGGAAAATAGTACTAGATTTGTAGATTGGTAGGTTTATAGATTGGTAGATTTGTAGATTTGTTTTAAAGAGTTTATCCAAACATTGGATTCTTGACATTTCCAATCCCTTTTCTTTCCAATCAAATCCAATCCAATCAAATCCAATCCAATCCAATCCAATCCAATCAAATCCAATCCAATCCAATCCAATCCAATCCCAATCCAATCCAACCCAATCCAATCCAATCCAACCCAACCCAATCCAATCCAACCCAACCCAACCCAATCCAATCCAATCCAATCCAATCCAATCCAATCCAACTCTACCATACTTTTTCTCACCTCAACTTTCCCACCAGCCATTCGAAAACATTTATGCCCTTCGCTATTTGTTTCTTCAATAAATTTCACTCCAGTTGTTTTATAGGATGGGAATTTTATTCGAAGATTTCCCTTATTCGGTCCTAAATCAATATTTTTGCAATCAATTAACAAACTTTAAACAATTAACTTAAAAAACAGTTATTTATCTAGATGTCTTTATGTCTAAATCTAGCTTATCTCATTATATATTTGTTTTAGAATAAATGTTTCTTTTTAAACTTTGCAAAAAAAGCTTTCCGGTACTCGGTTCAATGCGATTTTCATCTAGATTTGATCATTTTTTTGTGGGATAGACAATCAATTTCCCCCTAAAGGGAAAAGGTTTATGAAAAGAAAAGAAAAGAAAAGAAAAGAAATGACAAGAAATGAAAAGAAATGAAAAGAAAAAGAAAAACTGGATTTGAGATTTGAGATTTGAGAAAAGAAAAGGATTTGACATGATCAAATGAATGGAAATGAATGAAGAAGAGAAGGGATTTAGATCTCAATAAAAGGAAAATAAAGATTGAAAGTGGAGAGGATCTGTAGATTGCTTTGAGCAAGCTGATAAATTCGAAAACTCATGGCTAATGTTTTCGATTAGGAATTGAGCTGGTTTTTTTTCTAAGCTACATTTGAAAATATTGAATTAAAGCGATTGAAAGGTTTATTGTTGCTAGAGTTTAATGGAGGGATAAGAATAGCGTTGAGTGATGTCTCATCATCATCAGTGATGATGGAGAGTGGGACAAGAATGGCGTAGAGTGATGTCTCTTCATCTCATCATCATCAGTGATGATGGAAATGAGATAAGAATGGTGTTGAGTGATTCTTGTCCCACTCTCCATCTCACTGATGAAGAGATGATGAGACATCACTCAACGCCATTCTTGTCCCACTCTCCATCATCACTGATGATGATGAGATGAAGAGACATCACTCAGCTCCATTCTTTTCCAGCTTCCATGATCACTGATGATGATGGGACGAAGAGACATCACTCAACGCCATTCTTGTCCCACTCTCCATCATCACTGATGATTATGGGACGAAGAGACACCACTCAACGCCATTCTTTTCTCACTTCCATCTCACTGATGATGGAGACTGAGGCAAGAATGGCGTTGAGTGGTATCTCATCATCTCTTCATCAGTGAGATGGAGAGTAAGGCAAGAATAGCGTTGAGTGATGTCTTATCATCTCATCATCACTGATGATGGAGAGTAAGACAAGAATAGCGTTGAGTGGTGTCTCATCATCTCCATCATCACTGATGAGTACAATAAGATGAAGAAACTATTCAAAGCTTACTGATAAACATTTTTCAAGCAATCTTGCAACAGTGGTTTGTCGAGAGTCAAGGATATTCTTAGCTTCTGTAAATCTGGTCTGGGTTCTGTTCTCGTTGACTACACAGAACTTTGAGGCCATCTATCTACTTCTGAACACTATTTAATTCTTGCAGAATGAAAATAGACTTCTTGGCTCTCTAATACTCTTGTCTTATTTAAAAAGTGCTTCATAATAAACAATAAAACTGTCAAGGTCATTCAAGGACTCAAGGATGAAATAAAACTAGAGTTTTACTATGCAATAGCTTCTGTAATTGTTGAATTGATTTGTTCTACCTGTACTGGATGAGCACGGGAAATGCCGCTCGATTTTCACCGATATATCTTCAGGCGCTGCGGAGATCGCCGTGAAAACGGTCAATAAAATCAATAATTGTAGCATCGATATTCAGCTATTAGGAAGATCGAGTGTAGAAAAGAAATTTTGTGGATCGTTCGATTTCCCTTTTTTCCCTCCTCAAAGGGTTTTCTCTCATTCTTCTCTCATTCATTGTGCGCTTTTTTGACTCCGCCCATTCTATGATATCTTTCACAATGACGATTTGTTTAACAAACTTTGAAAGTTGTCTGATCTATGAGAAAAGTTGTCTGATCTATCAGAAAAGTTGTCTGATCTATCTATCAACATATATCAAGGTCTATAGTACGTTTCTCTTGACCTCTCCTAACCTCTCCTGACCTCAATCCGATAGAGATTTTATAGGGAATACTTTTCCGAGCTGTCTACAGTTGACCGATGAGAAGAAATGGAATTTGAACGGATCCGATGGCGTTGACTACTATTGGAGGGATCTTGATGGTGTTTGGCGGTAGTTCTGTGATGGTTTGAGCGGCCGGCGGCAATGGAACGGTCGCCCTGAAGATGGTTTTGAAGCGGATGAATCGTTTTGATTATATAGATGTCTTGGACAATTGCTTGCTGCTACCATTTTTGCTCCTAAATCCAACTGTTTCCTAAACACGACAATGGGTCAATTCATCGAGCCGGAGCCACAGCTGGCTCCAAGCCGGAGACACAGCTGGCTGAACAACAACAACATTGCAACTTTGGATTGGCCCGCTTGATCCGATAGAGAATTTATGGGGAATACTTGTCCAAGCTGTTTACAAGCATTAGTTTCCAGACGTTTTTGCACTTAAAGAAGCGATTTGTTTGGCTTGCAGTGATCTCGACGTCTCTGCTGGAGCGATCCTGGAGCGCTGAATGACTATCGTTCAAATATTCAACTAAGGATATTGTAAATCCTAGATTTTTTAGATTTTCATTGATTCTGGGTCACACAGTATCTTTAGCTGACCTAGTGCTTGATAAACATAATCAGGACGATGGTTATGTAGTCCAGAATGGGTTCTTGAAGATATTCAGCTAAGGATACTGTAAGTCCTGAATATTTTTAGATTTTCATTAATCCTGGATGTCACACAGTATCTTTAGCTGAATAGGCCTAGGCCTGGACCTGGTTTAGTCTCACGCACCCTAGGACCAGATACTACAGTAGTCAGAGCTTCAAAACCTCATCACTTCAATGCTAAATCTCATTTTTCAAGTAATTAATCGTTCTGATGCTTGTACAGATGATTAGTTTTGATCTTTCACTTTTAGTATGGTAAATCTTTGCCGATAAATCAAAATATTTTCATAGTGCGCTTAAGAATTTGAAACGCACTTTATAAGAACAAATACATTCGAGTTCGGAGATTTTCCCACATTATATTTCAGCTCAATATTACTAACGAGCTGTCTACAAGAATCATCGTCAGTTTCAAGACGTTTTTGCACTTAAAGCAGCGATTTGTTTAGCTTGAAGTGATCTCGACGTCTCTGCTCGACGCTGGAGCGATCCTGGGGCGCTGAATGACTATCGTTCAAATATTCAGCTAAGGATATTGTAAATCCTAGATTTTTTAGATTTTCATTGATTCTGGGTGTTACACAGTATCTTTAGCTGACCTAGTACTGGATAAACATAGCCAGGACAAAAGGTACTCTGGTGCAAAATGGGTTCTTGAAGATATTCAGCTAAGGATATCTTTAGCTGACCTAGTGCTGGATAAACATAATCAGGACGATGGTTATGTAGTCCAGAATGGGTTCTTGAAGATATTCAGCTAAGGATACTGTAAGTCCTGGATATTTTTAGACTGCTGGACTTTAGACTCTGCTCGACGTCTCTGCTCTTCAAAACCTCATCAATTTAATGCTAAATCTCATTTTTCAAGTAATCAATCGTTCTGATGCTTGTACAGATGATTAGTTTTGATCTTTCACTTTTTCTTTTCTTAATATTTGCCGATAAATCAAAATGTTTTCTTAGTTGCGCTTAAGAATTTGAAAAAGACTGTATAAAAAGTTCAGGAAAATTTACAAGATCAAATTTTTTAACCATTCTTTTCATTGAGTTCATTTTCCAAAGCTTTAGACTCATCAAAGTCTCATATTTTCATTCATTCTGGGTGTCACACAGTATCTTTAGCTGACCTAGTACTGGATAAGCAAAACCAGGATAAGCATAACCAGGGATAAGCATAACAAAAGGTACTGTAGTGCAGAATGGGTTCTTGAAGATATTCAGCTAACGATACGGTAAATTCTGTCGATTCTTCGATTTTCATTAATCCTGGATGTCACACAGTATCTTTAGCTGAATAGGCCTAGGCCTGGACCTGGTTTAGTCTCGCACACCCTGGGACCAGATACCAGAGTAGTCAGGGCCTCAAAACCTCATTACTTCAATGCTAAATCTCATTTTTCAAGTAATTAATCGTTCTGATGCTTGTACAGATGATTAGTTTTGATCTTTCACTTTTGGTATGGCAAAAACTAGGTCGATAAATCGAAATATTTTCACTAGTGCGCTTAAGAATTTGAAACACACTTTATAGGGACAAATACATTCGAGTTCGGAGATGCTCGACGCTGGAGCGATCCTGGAGCGCTGAATGGCTATCGTTCAAATATTCAGCTAAGAATATTGTAAAGCCTGTCTATCTTTCAATTTTCATTAATCCTGGATGTCCCACAGTATCTTTAGCTGAATAAGCTTAGGCCTGGACCTGGTTGAGTCTCGCGCATCCTAGGACCAGATACGATAGTAGTCAGAGCCTCAAAATCTCATCACTTCAATGCCAAATCTCATTTTTCAATTAATTAATCGTTCTGATGCTTGTACAGATGATTAGTTTTGATCTTTCACTTTTTTTATGGTAAATCTTTGTCGATGAATCATTTTCCAAAGCTTTCGACTCATCAAAGTCTCATATTTATTCTCTACAATACGTACATTTTCAATTCCTATTTGGTAAATAAGGTGGATAAGGCACGGAATCACATTTCAAATTTGAGAACCAGCAAAAATACCTGTGTAATTCTTGGGTAAAGATTTTCTTTTCTAGAATATTTTCAAGGTTTTGAATATTTTCAATAAAACTATAATTTAGGTGGGATTTCATTTCGAACATTCGTCCCCTCAATCACGAATGGATATCGCTCTTTGGCCATTTGTCGGACGACGAGTTGACTAGGACCGGCTTCGAATGTCTAAGAAAATTGGTTGTTAGCTTCGATTCAAGCTTCAAGTCAAGTTCTGACTCAATCCCAGTCTTTAAATGAAATTTTCTGAAGTTAAACCTTTGAAATTCTCTGAAGACCTTTAGAAAACAAAAAGAAAACCTTTAGAATCCAAAAAGAAAACCAAAAACTATCATCGAAAAGTGTAGAAAATGAATTTCTGTTTGAATTTTGATTAAACAATGACTTGCAAAGCAATCCCCTTTCCATTAGACTTACTTTTCTTAAAAAACAAATTGTCATCTCTACAACAGCTTCTCCAACCAATTGTCCATCAGTTTCTCCAATAAAACCCATTCTTTTAGCAAGATATTGATTCCTCAATAGATGAGAGAAATCGGAAAATGCTTGATGAGTGGTGTTCCTGAAAAGGCTTTCTTTCTCCTCGCCCCACAGATCCTCGGTAGTATAGTGGTTAGTATCCGCGTCTGTCACATGCGAGACCCGGGTTCAATTCCCGGCCGGGGAGAATTTTTTGCATAACTTTTGCAATAACGCATAGACGTATAGATTTGATATCATAGAGCTGTTATATTATAGACCTGTTATCATAGACCTATGCTATCATAGATCTGTTATCATAAACCTGTTATCATAGACCTGTTATCATAGATCTGTTATCATAGACCTGTCATCATAGACCTATCATAGACCTGTTATCATAGAGCTGTTATCATAGACCTGTTATCATAGACCTATGCTATGATAGATCTGTTATCATAGACCTATCATAGACCTATCATAGACCTATGCTATCATAGACCTGGCCAACTTACAAAAACGTGAACAATGTCCTCTCACATCGATCAACTTTCAGCATTTTGTCAACGTTTTTTCGCCATTGCCATGAGCCAGAATTAAGGAAAAGTGTCGGCTGAGTGAATCTAAACATTTCTTTAGAAAACCCTTACTCTTTTCACCGACCTTTCATACATTTGCTCTTCAACGGGCAACATCCAACCATCCCAAACGACTGCAGCCTAAAGCTTTTGAGTCTTGAGTTGATTTGAGCATTTTCTTGTATCATTTCTGGTTTGGAGCCAGCTATGGCTCCGGCTTGGAGCCAGCTATGGCTCCGGCTTGGAGCCAGCTATGGCTCCGGCTTGGAGCCAGCTATGGCTCCGGCTTGGGCCAGCTATGGCTCCGGCTTGGAGCCAGCTATGGCTCCGGCTTGGAGCCAGCTATGGCTCCGGCTTGGAGCCAGCTATGGCTCCGGCTTGGGCCAGCTATGGCTCCGGCTTGGGCCAGCTATGGCTCCGGCTTGGGGCCAGCTATGGCTCCGGCTTGGAAGCCAGCTATGGCTCCGGCTTGGGCCAGCTATGGCTCCGGCTGGCCAGCTATGGCTCCGGCTTGGGCCAGCTATGGCTCCGGCTTGGAGCCAGCTATGGCTCCGGCTTGGAGCCAGCTATGGCTCCGGCTTGGAGCCAGCTATGGCTCCGGCTTGGAGCCAGCTATGGCTCCGGCTTGGAGCCAGCTATGGCTCCGGTTTGGAGCCAGCTGTGGCTCCGGTTTGGAGCCAGCTATGGCTCCGGTTTGGAGCCAGCTGTGGCTCCGGCTTGGAGCCAGCTGTGGCTCCGGCTTGGAGCCAGCTGTGTTCAAAAAGAGTCAGTTGAACAGTCATAAAATCGAATTGATAAAGAAATTAAGCCTAAGAATTAAAATTGACCTGGAAATCTGTAGAGAAAGCGGTGGCTCCAAGCGCTGTGGCACCGCCAAACGAGTGGCCAACTGCAGCGGCTCGGGAGAGATCTAATCGACCCTGAAGTTTTAAATATATTGTTGATTTGTTAACTGATTCTTTAGCTGTACTATGTCTGTAAGCCAATGCAGGCAGAAGAAAGTAAAGCTAGAACTCGGGCAGAAGCTTGATTCAAGACTTGACTTCTAAGTAGCCTATAGGTTTAGGCCAGGTTACCTGGCTTTGCCTGATCTAACAATTGCATTTAGAATAACCCAAAAGATAAGTAATAGATTCATTGAGTTATTTTATTGAATTGCTTTATTGTTTTTGAGGCAATATTCAAGTTGAAAAATTGGGATTTCTTGAAAAGTCTTTTTGATGCTCAAGCAAGATGTTATAAGATGATAGAAATGAAATAAAACATAACAGAAGATGTTTTAAACTTTTTAAACTTATAAAAGATCATTTAAAAGTAGAATAATTTGCTTAAAAGCATCAATTTGCTTGAGCATCAAAAGAATTTTCAAGAAATCCCATTTTTTTCAGCATGAATTTTGCCTCAAAACTTAAAGCAATTCAATAAAATAACTCAATGGATGTATTACTGATCTTTTGTAACCAGGGATTGTTCTAAATGCAATTGTTAGGTCAGGCAAAGCCAGGTTTTGGCCTGCGAAAAAAGCCTGGTCGAAACCTATAGGCTACTCAGCATGAAACTTACCTCAAAACTCTAAACAATGCAATAAAATAACTCAATGTATATTTTTTTAAAATTTCTCATAGAATCCAATTGCATTTTATGATTCGATCTCCCTAATAATCGCTTTTCTTTTGCACAAACCTTAAATTGTCTCCAATTGAAATGTTCTCCAACAACGATTCGCTGTGATTTCTCTCCTCTTGCACCAATTAGTCCTAGATTGAGTTCCTCAAGTAAATGAAGAGCTTTCACCATTTCCGAGACTCGTTTGTGTAACTAAAATCAGAGTGAAATGGCTAATTGCTGCTATTTGCTGCAATTTACAATCATATTCATTTGCCCGAAAAGTCTTGTCCGTCTTTTTGAAATTTATAATAATTAGCTGATAAACGTGGTTTGTTTTAAATAGAAAAGAACAACTATTACATTTAAATAATTTTTCGGAAGCTCTCTGAAGCTCTCTGAAGCTCTCTGAAGCTCTCTGAAGCTCTTTGAAGCTCTCTGAAGCTCCCTGAAGCTCTCTGAAGCTCTCTGAAGCTCTCTGAAGCTCTTTGAAGCTCTTTGAAGCTCCCTGAAGCTCTCTGAAGCTCTCTGAAGCTCTCTGAAGCTCTCTGAAGCTCTCTGAAGCTCTTTGAAGCTCCCTGAAGCTCTCTGAAGCTCTCTGAAGCTCTCTGAAGCTCTCTGAAGCTCTCTGAAGCTCTTTGAAGCTCCCTGAAGCTCTCTGAAGCTCTCTGAAGCTCTTTGAAGCTCTTTGGAGCTCCCTGAAGCTCTCTGAAGCTCCCTGAAGCTCTCTGAAGCTCTCTGAAGCCCTCTGAAGCTCTTTGAAGCTCTTTGAAGCTCCCTGAAGCTCTCTGAAGCTCTTTGAAGCTCTCTGAAGCTCTCTGAAGCTCTCTGAAGCTCTCTGAAGCTCCCTGAAGCTCTTTGAAGCTCTCTGAAGCTCTTTGAAGCTCTTTGAAACTCTTTAATCTCAAAATACATAAACTCTACTCTATTTTGCTCTATAACGAATGAAAAACAGTTTTAGCTTTTTGAAAACCCACCTGTGGCACTCTGACTTTCACCTCGTTCTCATTCGGATTCAAGATTCTCATCATCACTTCTTTCTCTTTGTATCGACCATCGAGTGGATCGGGGACCATTTTATACGTCCAACAGGAGGAGAAATCTCTGCAAAAGGGTTGTTAAAGCTTTAAGATGAGAATCTTCCAAAGCATTCTTCAATATTAACACCTCAAAGTAGCCTCTAACAGGTCCGAACTGGCCGAATGATTTCACGAGGCTGCTGAGATGAAAACGTCTCATTTGCAAAGGCCATTTTAAGTTGGCTGCCCTCCCTAGTGAAATGCAAACGCCTATCGAGCATGAGGAACACAAACGCTCTATTTATTTTTACCCATTCTCAATAGTTCACAAGAAAAACCCTTGAAAACCGGAAATCTTGAAGGGAAGCCTTGAAGGGGAACCTCAGGGATATATAGCCACTTTCCCTCCCTTTCAACCCCGATTAGATGGTGTAGGGGTAAGTGTGCGGGCTGCCAACCTCAGTGTTCGTCTTCGTGACCCTGGTTCGGATCCGGTTGCTTCCTTTTTTTTCTTTCTTTTGCAATGTAATGTAATAGTAGTTTAAAATAGCAATAGTATCAGTTAGGTAAAGTAAATTGAAGTAATACTTAAATCTAGCTCCATCTAATCCTTTAAAACCACTTTACATTTCTTTTAGAGTATCTAAGAACAGATGTCACTCAAAATGCACTTGTAAGACACTGACCGATGCTCGACGGCGGCCACCACAAAGCCGTAGCTCGCCAGTGAGGCACAATAAGTTGAATACCTAAAAGAGTAATGTAAAATTGCAATAGTATTAGATAAGTACAGTAAATCGAAGTAATACTTACATAAATCTGGCTCCAGATAATCCATGGGAGAAAACGATGACAGGGAATGTTTGCTGGGAGAAGGATTGCATCGAGAGGGATGTTGGGAATTTTCTTGGCTAAAAATTCTTTTAGATATCTTGTTTATATAAATATTATCGAATTACAGTATGCTTTGTTCTAGTTTTTCGTTTAATCTAGATCTAAAGCTTTCTAGATCTAAAGCTCTCAGATCTAAAGCTTAGATCTAAAGCTAGATCTAAAGCTAGATCTAAAGCTAGATCTAAAGCTAGGTCTAAAGCTAGGTCTAAAGCTTTCTAGATCTAAAGCTTTCTAGATCTAAAGCTTTCTAGATCTAAAGCTAGATCTAAAGCTTTCTAGATCTAAGGCTTTCTAGATCTAAAGCTTTCTAGATCCAAGCTTCTAGATCTAAAGCCTTCTAGATCCAAGCTTCTAGATCTAAATCTTTCTAGATCCAAGCTTCTAGATCTAAAGCCTTCTAGATCTAAAGCCTTCTAGATCTAAAGCTTTCTAGATCTAAGGCTTTCTAGATCTCAAGCTTTCTAGATTTAAAGCCTTCTAGATCTAAAGCTTTATCTAGAACGGTTTATCGTTCAATTAAGCGCTTGACGATCTAGCTTTAGATCTAGCTTTAGATCTAGATCTCATTTTCATTTATAACCTTTATACTATAGTTAGACAATATCTAGATTCTTACAGTACTTTGAAGCTAGGATCTGCAGCCATCGCAAAATCGTCCATTGAAAAAGAGGAGGCAACTTGATGCATAGGCAGTTTACTCCCCGAGAGTGGTCGTTCCCATAAAGCCGGCATTCTAAACAAGTTACCGGATTCTTTAAAGCTAGAGATCTCAATCTATTGCCTCACCTTTTCTCACCGATCACCCAATCGGATATCAATTGTAGCCGCCATGTCGGTATCTTCATCGAGGCGGCCAATCCTTGGAGGTATTCTTTTCGTGGAATCCACAACGCATAGTCTTCCTCCTTTTGATTCTCATCAATATCCTGGAAGCATTGATATTGATAGCTTTGATAGCATTGATAGCATTGATAACTTTTAAACTAAACTAAACTAAACTAAACTTTAAACTAAACAAAGCCTGTATCCAGGGTTACTTCAAAACCGATTTTCCTGGGCCGGTCAGATCAAACTGGGTCTTAGGCAGATGTTAGCTTATCTAAACTAGATCTTAGCTTATCTTAGCCAGATGTTAGCTTATCTTAGCCAGATCTTAGCTTATCTAAACCAGATCTTAGCTTATCTTAGCCAGATCCAGGCCTGGTATCGACTAGTTAAGCAGTCGGTATTGGCCTAACCCACAAAAGCATACGAGCTAACTCGGTCTTGGCCTGAGATCTTGACCTAGCTTACAAGTCTGACATCACTCGACTAGGCCAAACAAGATCTACGATCGTTTCAAGGCCAGCTCAGTCAGCTTCAGCTTAGACTTCAGCACTATCAGCTTAGACTAGGCCATGGGCTGGTTCAGCCCTAGCCCGCCAAGCCTGGCAGGGTTGACTTATAGATTTATGGCTTACTTATGGCTTACTTATGGCTTACTTATGGCAGAACCTATAGGCCCGATCAGGTCTATTTTTAATATCAGCTGGCTTCTTTATAGAGCTTTTTAGCTTCTTTATAGCTTCCCGAGGCTGGATCCTAGGCCTGACCTTGCCATAGGATTCAGTTGGAACATTCTACCCGAGCCCGTAATTCAAAAATTGCTGTCCATCTTTCAGCTATCAATTTCAAGATCCAGAGACTCCCCCCCCCCCCCCCCCGGGCCCTAGGAACCCTTTCCCCCCCCCCTTCGGCCCGACCCCGCCCTTCCCCTTTTTTTCCATTTTTGAATTATTATTTTTTTTTTTTTTTTTTATTTGGAAAAAAAAAAATAAAAAAAACAAAAAAAATATTTAAAAAATTTAAACAAAAAAAAAAAAAAAAAAAAAAAAAAACCCCCCACAACCCCCCCCCCCCAAAATAAATTTTTTAAAATTTTTTTATTTTCCAAACAAAAAAAAAACCCCAATTTTAAAAAAAAAAATTTTTTTTTTTTTTTTTTTTTTTTTTTTTTAAAAAAAAATTTTTTTTTTAAAAAAAAAATTTTTTAAAAAAAAAAAAAAAAAAAAAAAAAACATTTTTTTTTACCTTATTTAAAAACATCATTTCCGCATTTATATTTATGAATTTTTCATTCAAATTTCTCCATTTTAAACTCTTTTTTACCAAATTCTAGAATAATATTCATCTTGTCTCACTTATTTCATCTGGAGAGATCATAGCTAGAGAATAAAGTGATTCAATCTCAAACATCAATCCAATATTGTGTCTGGGAAAGGAAAAGCTAATGACTCTTTACATAATGGAATGAATTGGAGAATGGGAAAAGGGAATTGAATGGATTGGAGAATGAGAGAAAAGGGAATGGAACGGCTAAATCAAGAGACACGAAAAAGATGAGAAAGAAAAGAAATGAATCAATCCATTCAAGGAAATGGGTGCAAGAAAAATGAGTTTCTTCTTCGGCAATGATTGAGATTTTGATGGGAAGCTTTTCCTTTACACTTAAAGCATCAAGACTTTACCTTATGCCTAGCAGTAGGAGGTTTTGTTTAGGCTCAGGCTTAGGCTCAGGCTCAGGCTTAGGCTTAGGCTTAGGCTTAGGCTTATACTAACTACTGTAACTAGGACTGGAACTGGAGGGAAAAAATCCTTTAAACCTCTATTGCTTTTTGGAGTATTATGGATTGTAAAGGAGTTATTTATAAGCTTTTCATTGAAATTAGCACAATAGCTTATAAAAAGCTTTTCTATCTTTTAAACTTTAGCTTTTAGAAGCTTTTAGCAGCATTTAGCAGCATCTAGCAGCATTTAGAAGCTTTTAGCAGCTTTTAGCAGCATTTAGCAGCTTTTAGGAGCTTTTTGAAGCTTTTAACAGCTTTTAACAGCTTTTAACAGCTTTTAACAGCTTTTAGCAGCTTTTAGCAGCATTTAGCAGCTTTGAGGAGCTTTTAGAAGCTTTTAACAGCTTTTAACAGCTTTTAACAGCTTTTAGCAGCTTTTAACAGCTTTTTGAAACTTTTAGCAGCCTTTTATACTTCTCAGCTTTAGATCAGCCATTCTGCGATGTGAATACTACCAGTTGCGCTCTACTGAGAGCACCTAGCACAAATCTGATTCCAGTTTCGGATTCCTCGCCTCCGAAAACCGCCGAGTACAAATTTTCAGCTTTCTAGCTCACTTCGTTGTCATTTTAACGTAATTTGTATTGTCGCGTAGGTGTGACAGACGGACGGAAATTTTCTTTTTTTATATAGTTGATTTTTGAGGGGTGAAGAATAGACTTAAAAGCTATATAAGCAGTGATATTTCGAAGGAATTCAATGGAAACAGGATCTTATAATCATTTCCAACTTTACCTTATTATCAACAGGATAGTAGATTCTCATGAAAATCCCCGTGTCTCCATTCGGTCCATCTTTCACCATCATATCAGCACAGCCAACACTAGAATTTATGTGTCATATCAGCACAGCCAACACTAGAAAGCCGATTCTCACTAAAGTCAAATGATCTGTGGCAAGTTTATTTCTAAAGTTTTCTTTAGAAATGACTAAAGTAAGTGATCAATAATTTATTAGATATTAAAAGGCTCAGCTTTCAAATCGTTTAAACCTTAAGTATTACAGCTTGGAATCTTAATAACCTTAATAATCTTACTAATCTTATTAATCTTACCAATCTTACTAATCTTCTCATCGCTATGAGATTTCGCAAGTGCGAATCCGAACCAAAGCTAGATGATTTAAGCAAGTCGGAAACAGGCAACACGATGGCGTTTTTAACTTTTACCCAAACGTTATTTCTGTAACGCATTTGAAATTTGCTCCTCTTGTGCACTGAGCGATTTATGAATTTGTAAGGACTACCGTTGCTCATGAAAAGTGACGGTAGTCCTTACAGTGACTCAGTGATGCACTGCACTACAAGCACAAAAACTTGTAACGATAGATCAAAAATCTGAATCTTGTGAAATGTTGTGTGCACTCCAGCTAAGAAATTTGCAAAAAATCAAAAAATTCTGAGCACTCACAAAAGAGAAATAAGCGCCTGAAGATTTGCGGGTCTGCGCGCTAACTTGTGGGCAAATTATCGTAACCCAAAGGGTCAAATCGTTGAGCTTTTCTCGTTTTTAGCAATTTACTATGTGATAATTCAATGAGCGATGCAAAAAAAGTTCATTTTTCACTTCTGTAAGAGATGGCTTTGTTTAAAAAATAAAAAAACAGTTAATAAAATAAAAAAAATCTAACTGAATTCATTCTTAAAGCAACATAAATTAAATTAAATTTGTGAAAAACAAGAAAAGTTCAACGATTTGACCCTTTGGGTTACGATAATTTGCCCACAAGTTAGCGCGCAGACCCGCAAATCTTCAGGCGCTTATTTCTCTTTTGTGAGTGCTCAGAATTTTTTGATTTTTTGCAAATTTCTTAGCTGGAGTGCACACAACATTTCACAAGATTCAGATTTTTGATCTATCGTTACAAGTTTTTGTGTTTGTAGTGCACTGCATCACTGAGTCACTGTAAGGACTACCGTCACTTTTCATGAGCAACGGTAGTCCTTACAAATTCATAAATCGCTCAGTGCACAAGAGGAGCAAATTTCAAATGCGTTACAGAAATAACGTTTGGGTAAAAGTTAAAAACGCCATCGTGTTGTCTGTTTCCGACTTGCTTAAGTCATCTAGCTTTGGTTCGGATTTCGGAAATTTAGAGCGCTTGCGAAATCTCAACGTTCTCTAGTTAGTTTAACGGAATCTCAACGTTCTCTAGTTAGTTTAACAGCAATTAAACCCGAGTTCCACTTGATAAACTCGACAAAATGAATAAGAAAATGGAGAATAAAATGAAGAACAAAATGAAGAACAAAATGAAGAACAAAATGAATAAACTTTTCCGCTTTCTGATTGTCATTATGTACAGATTTTTGGGATCAATTTAGATTAGATTTTAAAAAAAACCTGTAACTTCCTTGTCCATGTAGTGGCAGCACTTTAGATCCATATCCACACGACAGAGAGGCCCCCATCTGAAAATAGGATTCATTTGAAATAACAAGATAAATAGAAAAACGAATGAATGAATGAATGAACGAAAAAATGAATGAACGAATGAATGGACGAATGAATGAATGAATGAACGAACGAACGAACGAACGAACAAACGAACAAAAGAACGAACGAACGAACGAACGAACGAACGAACGAACGAAAGAACGAACGAACGAATGAACGAACGAAAGAACGAACGAACGAACAAATGAATGACATCAGTTATCTAAATCTGTCAAAATGAATGCACTAATTTGTTCTTGGTATCGTTCCAGTTCAGTCAAGGTCAGCAAAAGATTTCAATCAAAAAGAAAGTATCAAAAGAGAGAAACTACAAAACACAGATAGCGCTCAATTTTCTTCAATCAAAAGCGATTTGAGTAGATCAATTTTTGATTTATAAATTTTTGGATAAAATTTTTCAATTATAAAGAAAATCTATGAAGAAAAACTAAGAAATTAACTAAAAATCGATTTTTATTTCAATTTCTTTAGATCATTAAGGAAATATCTTTAGAAATCTTGAGTAAATATGCTAGTAAATGAGCGTTTACAAGAGCACAAAGTATTAATGAAATTCTTTCATAGTTGGTGAGCTTTTAAAGTCAAAAAATTGTAGTTTAACCTTAAAAAATGAGAGAAATGCATTGAATTTTAAATTCAATTACCTCTCTAATAGTAGTGCACTTCGCCGAGCCGATTTGGTGACTATTTTACAGTTTCTAAGTTCTCACAGAAGCTCAACACTCTAATCCCCCACTAGATCTCATCGTCAGCTACATTTTCCGACCTCACATCGATAGGTTCTGATAAGTGGTTTTCGAGATTTCGAGCAATTTAGGCGGTGGGTGGGTGCACAATTTTGGGTGCACTACTATTAGAGAAAATAGCACAGATAACGATAATATGTAATAGCACAGATAACGTCAAGAATCCACTAGAGCTTCAAGATCAAGATCATCTACAGATCTTGATCTACAGATAATTAAAAGGTTTCGAGACTATTGGACTCTCTCAAATCTCTCGGGAATCGATTCCAAATTCTGGCAGTTCTTATTGGAAAAGGAGAAGGAGGAAGGGAGAAGGAGAAGAAGGAAAAGGGAAAGGAAGGAAAGGAAAAGGGAGAAGGAAAGGAAAGGAAAAGGAGAAGGAGAAGGAAGAAGGAGAAGGAGAAGGAGAAGGAGAAGGGAAGGAGAAGGAAAGGGAGAAGGAAAAGAGGAAAAGGGAAAAGGAAAGGAAGAAGGAAAGGGGGAAAGGGAAAGGAGAAGGAGGAAGGGGAGAAGGAGAGGAGAAGGAGAAGGAGAAGGAGGAGAAGGAGAAGGAGAAGGGGAAGGAGAAGGAGAAGGAAAGGAAAGGAAAAGGAAAGGAGGGAAAGGAAAGGAAAGGGAGAAAGGAAAGGAAAGGAGAAGGAGGAAGGAGAAGGGGAAGGAGGAAGGAGAAGGAGGAGAGGAGAAGGAGGGGGGGAAGGAGAAGGAGAAGGAGAAGGAAAGGAAAAGGAAAAGGGAAAAGGAAAGAGGAAAGGAGAAGGAAAGGAAGGAGAAGAAGGGAAAAGGAGGAAGGAGAAGGAGAAGGAGAAGGAGAAGGAGAAGGAGAAGGAGAAGGAGGAAGGAGGAAGGAGAAGGAAAGGAAAGGAAAGGGAAAGGGAAAAGGAAAGGAGAAGGAGAAGGAGAAGGAGAAGGAAGGAGAGGAAGGAGAAGGAAAGGAAAAGGGAAAAGGAAAAAGGAAAAGGAAAGGAAAGGGAAAGAGGAAAAGGAAAGGAAAAGGAAAAGGAAAAGGAAAGGAAAGGAAAGGAAAGGAAAGGAGAAAAGGAAAAGGAGAAGGAGAAGGAGAAGGAAACTTATTCTAAGTTATAGGAAACTTAGAACGCTTTAGAAAGCGCCCATCAACTCTTTTCGGTTCTCTGGATTAGACCCGTCTCATTGCTGAGTTCAAAACACATCTGAATTCAAAACTCTTACTCTCAGCTTATTAGAGTGTGTTCCGCGGGAGTGATACGTTTTTTAAAACGTACACTTCGCAAAAATTCTCGTACTTTTGGCGAAAATTGCAAAAAATTGGCGCAAAAAATCACAAGCGCTGACTTATATATGTTTTCTTTTAAAGATATTCAGTCGTTTAACTAATTTATTGGAGGTGACTGGAATTTCTAAAACAAAAAAAACCTTGAACTAACCATGGGATTAACTTTGAATAAATCTCGAAAAAGAGGGATAGTTTGTGCCCGCTCTTTACAATTTTGAATGGACAATGAGCAAAAAAAGAACATAAAAAGACGCTTTCAAAAAAAAAGGAAAAGGAAAAGTTTTACAAAAGACCGACAGCATAACTTTCTTTCCGTGAAGTTCTGGATGTGATGTCGGAAGCGGCTTTTCTCCTTTGCCCAACCATTGTCTTTTGCGTGTTGAATTATTGAAATATATCCACTTTTCGTCCATCGTCAACATGCTTTCAAAAAAAGCACTGCCCGTAGCCTTTTTCAATAAAATCCGAGACAATAAAACTCGATTTTCCTTTTCCTTTTCCTTTTCCTTTTCCTTTTCCTTCTCCTTCTCCTTCTCCTTTCTCCTTCTCCTTCTCCTTCTCCTTCCCCTTCCTTCCTCCTCCTTCTCCTTTTCCTTTAATACTTTTTTTTTTGATTAATTTAAATCAAGGCCAGTTAAACAAAATTAGCTTAAAGAAGGTCGAAAAAGAGGGATAGTTTGCCTGCTCTTTACAATTTTGAAACATTCTATTCTGATCCTAAATTCGAAATCCGTGACCAAGCGGCGGTGTCTAAGTGGTTTAAGATCAAAAATTTTGTGAGTCTATCTGTGTAACTAAAAAATGCAATTTTCGAAAAATCTACTTTCCATAAAGCTATCTTAGTAAATCTCTGCTGGATTTTTTTTTTCTTTCTAGGCGAGAGATATCAACTTGTGGATGTGGAGACTAAACTATTGATGCTATTAATGAAATTCTTTCAATATTTTTTGAGCTTTTAAAGTCAAAAAATTGTAGTTTAACCGTAAAAAACGGAAGGAATGCATTGAATTTTAAATTCAATTATTCAATTCTTTCAAAAGCAATCGTAATTCTACTAGAAAATTTGCGTTTAAGAGATCAAAAAGCTCAAATAAAACGAAAGCATTAACAAACAATCTATCAAAGTCCTTAAGATCAAAGCTTGAGAATATGGAAATTAACTAAAGCAATAATTAACTTTGATGTTGGTGAATTGAAACTGCCGATTGTCATATGTGACGTTTGCTCTTCAAAGAAACCTTTTGGTGTAATGGAAGTTGTAGGAATCAAAGTTAGCTTTCAAATTTTAGAACGTTCAAAAACTGGTTTAAAATGCAATTTACTTTTCACAACTTGCAAAATTGCTTTTGGTCTAAGTGTATCTTTTATTGGTATGATTTTGTTCTCTACCTTGCTGGGTTTCTTTTGGTGTACTGGGTCTTGCATTCGTCTCTTTTTTGGTCTTTGTCTCCACCGTCCTCTCGAGGGGTCCGATTGCCTCTATGGCAGGTCGTCAATAATAATGGATTATTGGTGTTGTGGTTTTGTTGTATTTTGTTAGTCCGCGTTTTCTTTCACCGATGTATTTTTTTATTTATTCGTTGTAGCTGTTAAGATTAGAATTAAGATCAAAAAAGAATACTAAATAGATTTTTAAAAAACTGCCAATGAATTTTAAGAGTCAATCCCTTTAGAAAGTTTATAAACGACTGTGCCAGAAACCGAGCGTTTCTATGAGCAAAAAAAGAGCTAATTTCTACAGCTTTACTTCTACCATACAATAGTTACAATAGTTAGACAGTTTAAATCATTCTTTAAAATAATTTTGTAATTGAAAATAATACAGAAAATGAGAAATCGAGTTGAGAAAGTCTAGAGTTGAGTTGAGAAAGGATAGGGTTGAGTTGAGAAAGGATAGGGTTGAGTTGAGAAAGTCTAGAGTTGAGTTGAGAAAGGTTGAGTTGAGAAAGGATAGGGTTGAGTTGAGAAAGTCTAGAGTTGAGTTGAGAAAGGATAGGGTTGAGTTGAGAAAGGATAGGGTTGAGTTGAGAAAGGATAGAGTTGAGTTGAGAAAGTCTGAGTTGAGAATGATGAAAATCGAGTTGAGAAAGTCTTTTCTCTAATACCTACTCAATTATGAATCAACTCTAGAAAAAGGGGATAGAAAGCAGTAAATTTATTAGTATGTAGATGTTAGTCGTGTTTTCAATGCTTTTAATGAAGCCATCATCGAAAATGCATTAATTTTGCTCGAGTGCTTTGCAATTGGCAAGTGAAAGGAGGGAAAGGGAAAGAGGGAAAGAGAGGGAAAGAGAGGGAAAGAGAGAGAAAGAAGAAGAGGGATCCATCAACGAGAAAACCCAGGGGATCCGATTTCAATCGAACCATTCCTTCATCACAAGAAAGGAAAGCTGTTGTTTGAAGTCACTTTTTGTCGACACATAACTAGAGAAACTTTTGTGGTTCTGAAAAGTTTTGTATTGTTGAAGCTCTTGTTTGGTTTGGGTTTGGCTCAGTTTGGCCTTGGAACTTGACCAGATAAAATTGAACTTTCTAGCTTTTTTCATTTCCAAGAGCTAACTAGGGAAGTGTTTTGAGAGGAATTAAAAGAGGAATCGAAAGAGGAATCGAAAGTGGAATCGAAAGTGGAATCGGAAGAGGAATCGGAAGAGGAATCGGAAGAGGAATCAAAAGTGGAATCGGAAGAGGAATCGAAAGTGGAATTGAAAGAGGAATCGGAAGTGATCGAAAAAGGAATTGAAAGTGGAATCAGAATTTTTGGTGGCAAGCGGAACTGTACCCGCGGGCAAAATGGCATTGGCTTTGGAGTCTAGCACACTATCCCCTAGGCTGCTTTTAACGCCTATTGACGTCTTATAATGTCATGGTTTGTCTAAAATTCCCGAAACTTTGCTGTTTTCCTCGAAAACCAAAGCCAATGGAAAAAATAAAAAATACGTGTTTCTTAGAATTCTAT